AAAAAAAAAAAAAAAAAAAAAAAAAAAAAAAAAAAAAAAAAAAAAAAAAAAAAAAAAAAAAAGTATAATGGAGAAATTTGGGGGTTTGGATGGGTTCAGTTTAAGCGACAAACAAAGGCCCGCCAGACCTGTGGGGGAGTGAACACAGGCACCGGATGGGTTCAGTTTAAGCGACAAACAAAGGCCCCCCAGACCTGTGGGGGAGTGAACACAGGCACCACATAACGCGCTTGCCAGTCTATCTCTGCACAGACATACACCTCATTTTTCTCTTAATATTATTTATTTATTTATTTAATATTATAAATCTTCAACCTAACGAGCTCCATACACGAGTACGTTAAGGTCATCTCAAACATTTTTTCTATAATGGAAGAGGATCGACTCTTTGATTGAACGAAGGAGCTCCCACTTACACCATAATGTTCAAAATTAAACATGCATATAACCTATTAAATTGAAAGCACTTAGTCAGAAGAGTCCATACCGGACCAAGGGCAAGGACTCTAGTACAATCGAGCATAAATATTAATTTTGATGATAAAATAAATTAAGTTGTTTTTAAGTATTGAAAGGGTATTTTAGACATTTAGTACGGAGATGGGAGCATAAGGTATAACGTGTTTATCATCGCATTTGTGGTTTACAGAATAATAAGGGGAATATGAATGCGGATGAGCATGAATTATATTATACCAAACTTTTCTCTCTTTTTATTTTATTTTATTTATTATTGTTATTATTTTGAGGCGGCATTATGAATTGATATTTCCACTTTTTCGGACATCCCCAGATTAACGTGTGATGCTCCACGTACATTTCATATGAACAAATTGGGCCCACACTGAGATGCACTACTAAATATAATTCAATTAACTTTTTTCCTCCTTTTTTAAATATAATTATTGAATATACCTCAATAGGTTATATGTTTTTATGGGCTAGTTACGACCAGTGAAAATTAATTTGAATTATAAATTAGTTTTTTTAATAAATTTTTTATTTTTTTTAAAGCTAAATTAATTAAAATATCTCTAAATTTTGTATTTGGTTTATAAAATACCTTTAAACCTTAAAAAAAAAACAAAAAAAATCTACCCATTAAAATTTTCCTTTGATAAAAAAAAAGTTTTAAAACATTATTAATATCAATATATGGATGAAAACGGATCAACACCTCATAAATTAGGTAAAAACATTTTAATATTAGTTTTAAAAGTTGATTAATATTTTTGAAATATGATACTAATAATAAATATGTTTTTATTTTTTAAAAGTTAAAAGTAGTTTTTAAAATTAATTTTTTTTTAAAGGAACGAAAGAAACATTTGAAAACTCGAAGCATAATTTTAAATATTTTTTAAAATTAAATGGTATTTTTAAAACAAAATATTATTAAAAGTTCCTATAGAAAGGAATAATATAATTTTTTAACTTTTTTTGAAAGTTGTTATTATTATTAAATTTTTTGAAAATTTAGGAATATATATATATATATTTCTTTTGTATAGTTAAAAAGTATTTTTATTAGTTTAGGAAATACTAAAATAATTAAAGTGATTACATGGCAACCAATAATTGGCGTAGAGAGGAAAAAATAAATATTTTATTATTTATTAATCCCAGAAATATAAGTCTTTTTCTTATTGATTTACTTTTTGTTTTAATACAAAAGATTTTTTAATTTGAAGTAAAAAAGAATATATATATATATAAAAAGAAACTGCGAAACGGAACCAGGGAATCAAACATTCTACCAGACCGCCAATGGAAATGTACCACGTGGTGCTGTTAAAGTCGTATCTGAACGACGTGTTATTTTATCTTGCATTTGAAAATTTATTGATTAAACGCAATTTTTCTTTAAAAACTCCCAGCTGCTCAAAGAGGATAAGCCATCATTTCTTTCTTCGGAAAAATCAATAGTGGCATTTTGGTAATTCCGAAATAGGCACGAGGGCATTTAATAGCAAAACTCAAACCTCAATAATCCTCATCCTCCTCATAGTATCAACTGGACCCCACCCATGTCTGTTATATTAGCCAATAAAAACATTGCTTAAAATGTAGACATTATCAAATAAAATTTGGAGAACAATTTCACTTTCATTTTCTAATATTACTTTTTTTCCCTTCTTCCAATATTGTTTGTTTGTGTGATTTTGGACCAACAGCGAATCGACACATCGTCTTCACGTCCATGCAATCAGAGGCCACTTGGCGAAGTTAAAACTAGTGATAGAGAGTTGATGGATCTGTATTGTCTAATAAATAATACGACTATTGAGAAAACTTACTTGTGCACGTATTTATGCTTTTTATATAGAGATAAATCAAAGCTCGTGAATGGTTCTATAAAGTGGTAGCACACAAACGATGTAACGCTCCATGTCTATGATTTGACATCGGTGTGCGAATACTATCCCCACAAGATTAACTTTTCGGGAGGTTACCCAATAAAAGGCCTCATACATTAATGAAGATCATTCCCTAAATTAGTCGATATGGGACTTTCATCAAACTGTCATGATTATTCATGTATCCTTCATGGTGTAGCAAATTATAACCTTGAGCCTCATGATAGGAAACTTAAACTCATTAGACGAGCTATGCTTGGTGATTGATGGGCTAGCTTAGATTCTCACCTGAATTGACCTAGTCCATTGTGCACGGTCCAAAATCAAATTCCATCTCAACCATTATTATCAAGTAAATCGAATACAATAACAATTTATATATTTTCCCTCTTCATTTTATGCTAATTAATGCTAAATCTCGCCTAAATCACATTGTTGTTGTATGAAAAAATCAAGAGCGACCATGAATCTAACATTAATCATTGAATACTTCGTTAGTAGAGGATTCAGGCGCTGCAGAAACAAAGATGTGTTGTTGTTTGTTCTTGAGAAAATTAAAAAATTAATAATAATAAGAAGAAGAAGAAGAAGAAAAAGGAAAAACATAGTTAGATTTGTTAATGTATTTTAGTGAATAAAGAATGGTTTGAAATTGTATGATATTATAATAAATTAATAAGTGCACCAAAAGCAAGGAAGGTGGAGAGAATCTAGAAATGCCCATTTCTTTTTGTTTATAATTATTATTATTTTTTTTTAATTTTTTTTTTATAGAAACCAGAAAAGTAAAATTATGAACGAAAAAAAGCAGAGAATAAATAGAGACCGGATGTTGACAAATTTCATGTCACTGTTCTTGGAAGGTCGTTCGTCTGTGTGAAGATTTCTTATCTGGGATCTCTCTCTCTTTTCTTTTTTTTTTTCCCAATAAAATTAAAATTAACAACTTATTTCTCTCTCCCTCCCTCAAAATTCTCTCCCTTCCTTACATTCAGAGAGAGAGAGAGAGAGCGAGAGAGAGAGAGTGGCCCAGCAGATCGAAAATCTCCTTTATTTTCTCCACCTCGATGACGATCTAAGCTCTCTCTCTCTCTCTCTCTCTCTCTCTCCCTCTCTCCCTCCCTCACTGCTGTTTCTTTCATCATCTATATATATTTATAATTCTATTTTGCTTCTTATTTGGTTTTCAAGAATTTCCCCTTCTCAAGGTGTTCCTAAATGGCTGAATCCGTAAGGGGTTCTTGAGTTTTCGAATCGGACGATGTGGGTTTAAGGTAATTTTTCCAATCTATTTCTATTTGATTTCTTCTGGGTTCCTTTTGGATTCCGATGATTCCTTTTTCATAGGTTTTCTTAATTTATCTTAATTTCGTGTTCTACTCTCCCACTTTCTATGACTGTTTCCTGCTATCACTCTCACCCTTTTAACCATTTGCCTCTGCATTTTCTTTTTCTAATCATCCTTTTTACTTAAACTGTTTCGCAATTTAACATTCCTGGATTCGATTGTGTTTTGTACATTTGGGAATTTGTGTGTTGTTGAGATTTCGAGACGATATTGATGTTTGATCATAGTTTTATCTTTGGTGTTTCGCTTAGGAAGATTTGATTGCATCCTTGCTTCGATTTTTTGAGTGGTTCCGTTTTTGTTCTCTGATTTGCGTATTAATTTTCAAAGACTTCAAACGATCCATTCGTTCCTGCTCAATATTCAAGATAGAGGACTAATTTTGATGTTGCGTAGCTTAATTGTTCTGGAGTAAGCTTGTATGGAGATTGAGATGATTAGTGGTTTAGCTGCTTGTGTACATTTTGTTAGCAACTGATCTGAACTGCCTCAGTTGAGTTGCTTCATAAGTTTTCATGAGTAATTCCTTTTATCTGTCAGTGGCTTCTTGGAGTTAAAGATGGTTGCCATTTAAGTCCTTGTCTTATGAGCAGCCTTCTGTTAAGTGGTTTGTATGCTCGATATTGTTGGTTCGATTTGTGCATATATCGAGATAACTCGGATTTAGCATACTATACCACTGCCTCTTACTTGCCCCTGAATTTCTCGAGGTCCCAAGTCATTTGCATAGGAGACTCCTTATCTTCTCCCATTATAGTGTTGCTTCAAAGTGGCAACTGTGCATGCTTACTGGTTATAATACTGATGAATGAAATGTCTTCAGGACTTAGATTGCACATTATATCATATACCGGTAGCTCTATTTCGTATGGTTTGTGAGGGTGGAAACTCCAATGTTCTGGGACGTTGGAGCCGTTCATTTAACCTCTGGGGTCGAAGCAAATTGCTTGGATATAGTAGTAATTGCGGTTCTGTTTGATTCTGCACTTGAGACTCTGCATTGTTAGTTTTGCAGTGGTAGTCATCAAACATGATTTCTTAAGTAAGGTCGTTGTAGTTGAAATTTTTGTTCTTTTGGTTTTTGCCCTTTGAGGATATTTCTGTTTTCTTCACCTCAGTGAGATCCCACGTTGGTTGGGGAGGAGAATGAAGCATTCTTTATAAGGGTGTGGAAACCTCTCCTTAGTAGATGCGTTTTAAAAATCTTGAGGGAAAGTCCGAAAAGAAAAGCCCTAAGAAGACAATATCTGCTAGCGGTGGGCTTGGGCTGTTACAGACAGTCCACTAGGCGCTATATATATTTGGGGAAAATAGAAATACAAATAATTATTGTAACATGATTTCTTTCTCTTCATTCCTAGAGTTTGCAATAGACACCTTTTATAAGAACCAATTGGTCTAACGCGAAACCTGAAAGCCTTTTATATGTGTTACACTCAAAATTTTCGATTGGAAATACCTACAAGTTGTTCCCCCTTTATTGAGCATAACCTTCCCTTCAGCAAAGTGGGTTATCTAATCCCTATATTCGAAGCATGTTTTGGGTCTTATGACATGATACCAAACCACAGTGAGCATCCTGGGATTAGTTAAGATACGGAAGAAACCCGTGGCACTTGGTTGACATGAACTGTTCAGATCTGAAACTAGTACACGATATTCTTGCGGGTCACGTGTGCTATGTCTTCAAAGTTGAGACTAGACGGTATAGTCTTGATGTTGAAAACAGGAGGATGGGTGAGATTTTGTTTACAAGGAATATCCGAGAGTCGCTGGGAGGAGAGGCATGAGCTGGACTAAAGGATTACCAGCACATTGGCGAATAGAAGAAGCAACAGTGTAAGGGGGAACAAAAAAAATGAGAGTCATCATCCTTGTTTTAAAGGTACCTCTCAGGACTTCAACTTTTCACCCTTCCCTAGAAAAATTTCCCCAAAATACCTCTTTTTGCTATTATACTTCGATTAAAACTTTATCTCGTTTCGTAATTTGTTCACGACCATTCGGATACTCAAGCTGATGACCATCACTTTCATAGTTGAAGATTCATGTCGTTTCTTGTGTCTGTCTTGACTTATACCTTTAGCTGAGTTATATTTTGTAAAGTGATGTGCTCATATCAATATCCATTATGAACATATAATGATTCAATGAACCTTCAATGACTCAGGAATGGGAACAAAGGTGCAGTATGAACGTTATTTGCCAGGATATCACTCAATGAGGGATCTAAATGAAGAGTCTCATGGTTGTAGCTGGCCTTTATATTACAGTGAAAAATCGTGTCAGAGCAGCCCGTATTATAATGGAATTTTGCCAAGTGCTACCTCCGATGCATATCTAGGTTGTGATAGAGATGCTGTGAAGAGGACAATGCTTCAGCACGAAGCCATATTCAAGAATCAAGTAACATTCATTCCAACTGTTTCTTTGAACCTTCGTTGTTATGATTTTATTGTTTTTTGAGTTTCTTTTCATCTTTTGTTACTAAGCAGGTTTGCGAGCTGCATCGGTTATATATAAAACAGAGAGAGTTAATGAATGATATTAAAAGATCCGAACACAGAGACCCAATGCCGGTAGACATATCATTCTCATCTAGTCCTCTAGCATCTCAAAGTACTCCTGATGGTGCAAGAAAATGGCATCTCCCAAGCTTTCCTCATGCCATTTCTTCTAGTGGCGGACCGTATGCGCCTAGTGTTGAAGATGTAAAATCATCTTTAAGTTCTTTGAAAAAGAATAACAGAAGCGATGGTCTCTTCCTATCCCAAAATGGAACGAGTTCAAAAGACTGTGAGGTACTAGAATCTAAACCCTCAAAGGTTAGGAGGAAAACATTTGATCTTCAACTTCCAGCAGACGAGTACATTGATAGCGAAGAGGGGGAGGTATTTCATGATGAAAAAGTGCCTCCCATGTTGGGTTTCCATTCAAACGGTAACAAGAAATTTGAGATTCAGGGTTGTGTGACGGCAAATCCTGGTGGAAAAAGTGATGTTAAAGGTGCTGCTTTGAGATCTGACTCGTGTTTATGGAACAGATATGGTTTGGCCAATTTAAACGAGCCCATTCAGGTTGAAGAGGCAAATGGGTCCAATTTTTTTGATCTTCCTAGTGCTCGTGGCTCCAGCAATTGGGAGGCTCAAGGCCCCATTGTATCATCTAGGAAGCAAGAAATGTTTCTGAGCTCCAGTAATGAAGGTGGACATGCAACAAATAGAAGAGCGGCATTCCCTAACATCTTTGAAGCAGGTAATATTTCTTCTTTATATTGCATTAGCGTTCTTAAAACTTTCATGCAAGGATTTTCGGCTTTTGCAGTTCCCCGAACTGTCTTTAGTCAGTCATGTTTAATGCTTGGAGTATATGAACGGATTGGTAACTACGTTAACTAGAAATCTCGACCTGGAGTGTCTTTCTTGTGTACATAGCAGTAGTTTGCTTTAAAAAAGTTGTCACTTTTTTTTATACCCTTAGCCTCTTTTATTTCAGGACGTAGTAAGGAAAGCGAGAAACCCGTTACTCGTGGTCAGATGGAAAATTTTCATGTATTTTCTAATCCTATGCAAGTTCCACTAAACAAGTTTCATGAACCTCCAGTTTTCTATGTCAATGATAGAAGCAAGGTTCAACAGGAGTTGGACAGGCCAGTTAGTGATTTGCATTTATCCAAAAGAAGTTATGAAATGTCTAATACTGGGGATCCTGGTTATCTTTTAGCTTCGCAGACATCTCGTACATATCCTATCGCTCCTTCTTTGGACGTGGGTAAGTCTTGGGCTCACTCTGGTTCATCTTGGGAAAAGCCAAATGGCAACGGCTCCCAGAAGTCAACATCAGGTCATACACAACCGTGTTTCAAATTGTCTGCTGCTGTGCACAAGAGTTTTCCTTCATCAGCCCAGAACAATAGAATTTTTGGAGATAGATGGCATTTGAGTAGTGACTCTAGATCAAACCCTGGGTCTGGTTGTGATACTCCTTACCAGAATGGACTCTATCTCGGGTCTACGTCTGGCTCCAACGGAGGAGTTCTCGCCTCTACCGTAAGGCACGACCATGCTGCAAACTATTACAAGGGCTCTGGTTGTGTGGGCACGAATTCTCCGAAAGACATTAACTTGAATGTAATGCTCTCAAACAGTTTATCTAATGAGGCAGGTCAACAACCAAACTACCGGACCAGAGAGGCAGAACCAAACAATGAGGACCATCATAATGTATTACCATGGTCAAGGGCTGTACCTGCTAGTAAGAATGAAACGATCAATTCAAGCAGATTATCAATGACTGCAGAGCTTAATTTTGGGCTCTCTCCAAAGAACCAGTTTTCCAAAAGAAACGAAGCTGAACATGGCGGTAAAGTTGAATGTTGTCCGAACATTGAGTCTAATTCACGTTGTAGTAACATTGAGCCCAGAACGTCAGAACACGGTGAATGTCGGAGTAACAGAAAACTTCTTGGGTTTCCCTTTTTTGAAGGGCCATGCATTTCTAAGAATGAGTCATTTTCTGTTACATCCCCATCGGCACCTCTTCCTAATCCATCTGAGAATGAAGTGGACGATAAACGGAAAACTAGAGTACTTGATATCAATTTGCCTTGTGATCCTGTTTTTGATTCGGATAATGCTACTACCGGAGCTCTGGCTGTCGAGAATAGAAAGGACACAAAGATCTCTACTGTTAGAGTTCATATTGATTTGAACTCATGTGTCAGTGATGAAGAAGCTTCTATGAGACCTCTACCCTTGGCTTCTTCAAGTGCCAAGGAAAAGGTCATGGTAGAGATAGATTTAGAAGCCCCGGCACTGCCCGAGACTGAAGACGACATAATTGCAGAGGAAGAATCTGTAGAAAAACATCACGAACGGCGATCACAATCTCCTCAGCATATGGCTGTTGATATACAGGATGATCTTATGGCTGTAGCAGCAGAAGCAATAGTTGTCATCTCTTCTTGTGGTCATTCCTGTCATTTGGATGATACTGTTAGCAACGCGTTGGAAGATTCTTCGAGCGACCCCCTAAATTGGTTTGCCGAGGTAGTTTCCACACACGGAGATGATAAGCACACCAAGTCTGACACTGTATTTAGAGACAAAGAAGGCAAGGATAATGGTGAATCCTCTTTGAAAGGGATTGATTACTTCGAATACATGACTTTGAGGCTGGCGGAGGTCGGTGAAGAAGACTACATCCCGAAGCCCTTGGTCCCAGAAAATATGGAAATTGAAGAATCTGGAACCAATTTGTTGCAAAATCGATCCCGAAAGGGCCAGACGAGGAGAGGTAGGCAGCGAAGGGACTTCCAGAAGGATATCCTTCCAGGCCTTTCTTCACTATCAAGGCATGAGGTTACAGAAGATCTTCAGACATTTGGTGGCCTAATGCGAGCAACAGGCCACTCCTGGCATTCGGGAGTGACGAGGAGGAACTCTACTAGAAACGGTTGCGGTAGGGGAAGACGACGATCAGCGATCAGTCCCCCACCAGCTGTGCATTCAGAATGTAATCAGCCGATACAGCAACTAAGTAACATTGAAATGGTTCTGGAGGATGGAAGCCTGAGTGGTTGGGGCAAGACAACTAGACGGCCCCGTCGACAGAGATGCCCGGCTGGAACGCTCCGCCTGTCCCTTTAACTTAATGAATGGTAGGAGGCTTTGATTTA